GGTCGCCCTTCTGCTCCACGAGGAGCGCAGCCGGGCCGCTGCGAAGGTGAGTCCCCGGCCGGCTCCACTCCCCAGCGTCCCGCCCTGCGCCCCGGCCGCCCCGCGAGGCCTTTGTCCGGAGACCAGCGCCAGCCGCCCACTCTCCCCTCAGGGGTCGCGCATAGCACACCCAGGTGCACTCTTCGGGCCGGTCCCGCTGGTGATCCCTGTGGGCTGCGATCGCGCATCCGTCACCGAGCCTCCTTTGTTATGGTCCGGGTACGGGAGAGTTAGGGAAGTTCTCCCGGCCTTTGGAAGGGACCAGAAACTTAGTGCGCACCTCGGCGGGGTAAGGGTGTACAGGAGCCAGCGGGACTTGAACCCGTATCACGGAGATGTTCAGCGGCTGGCCGCCTTCACCTGCCCTGGGTGCTCGAGGGGGTTGGGGGCTGGCTGGAAGGGTGGACACGCGCACCCCACGCTGCTCAGAGCCCCACACATGTGTAGGGCTCTGAATCGCTTTGGGCGTGTTTCTGGTTGTTTGGAGACTGGTGGTGGAGGCTGACCAGCTCTGGGCCGCTTGCCTGGAAACAGCTGTCTCTTTGCTTTCCCACGACTTTTGTGTAACTTAAGGCACGCTGAGAACCGAGATGGGCTCTCCGGGTACCATCCTGGACTGGCCGCCTTCTATTAGTGTGTGTTTTAAAACTATAACCATATTTGTATTTGAGTGTGAAACTAAAGTGAAACTCCATCTCATTGTTTCATGCACAAATTGTTTGCTTGGTTTTCATTTCCTTTGGTTATGTGCTTGCCCAGAAAGGCTCTGGAGATCCATCTGCAGTAAGGCTCTGGACCCACTGCTGTTCTTTCCCTTTTCCCTTCCCCTCCAGAGAATAGAGCTTCAGCTGTTAGTGTCACAGCCCAGCAGTCCCAGAGGCCAGAGGTGTGGCCTCTAAGCACATTTTGATTTTTTTCCCCTCAAATACTAAAAATGGTTTTTGCTACTTGCCAGATTTCTCACACTTACTTTTTTTAGTCTTAGCTTTTCTTAGGCTTGCCATTGGGTTTGTCCTTTTAAGATTTCAGTTCTCTTTTGAGAGAATGATATTCAATAACTCCACTGTGTTTAAGTTATTAAGTGTTCCATACTAGAATAATCTGGAAATGTATGCAGCGTCTCTTAACTGTGAGCTTGCCTCTGCCCCGGCAGCTCCTTCATTGGATACCGAGAGCTCTATGATTACATCAGCAGTTAACTTCAGATTGTTCTCCCGCTCCTGGTCTCGCCCTGCGCCATAGCCAGCTGTTTAAACACCCTTCTGTAATGATGACAAAAATACCTTCAAGAGTGGGCTCAAGAATCCTTTATTTTGGTTTAGAAATATTGACCAACAGATTTAACACTTCTAAGACAAGATTGGTAGGCCCAATGGCAAGGAAAATCAGGGAATGTTCTCTGTTGGGAAATATGAACCACTGTTTGGATTTAGATTTTCTGATTGACAGTGTTAGCAAAGCAAAGCTGATTGTGAGAGCTAGCCTTTTAGACAGCTAGGACCTTAAAAGGAAGGAAGCACTCACTCAAACTCCTCTTCTTACCTGAAAAATCAAACTCAATGTTGAGTTTGGGATCATTTTACTTCCCTTTAGATATTCTGTAACGGCTAAGTACATTCCTGGCCCTTAGCTTTGCTCATTCCTTAAGGTATCATAGACTGTCTTAGGGAATCTTGCATGTGGTCGTTCCCATCACCGGTAACCTCCAAGGTATGGCCACTACATTGTATTTTTCCTGGCTGAATTAGAGAAAAGTGATTAACATGCGAATCATCATAAACCCAAGCGTTTAAAAGAAAATCCATTTAAAAATAATATCTTGCAGTTTTAAAATCCATTTCCCTCTTCATGCCATCAATAACATTTTACTTACCTCCTTACAAAAACAGCCATCAGATACACCAAAGTGTTGAAATAATGTCTATATTAATCCAAGCAAAATATAACTTAAAATATGATTTGAATGAAAAGATGGTGTGAATTTGTCACATCCTAACTCAGAAGCCAGCAGACATGCCTCTGGCTTGGATCTCCTGCTTCTTTGGTGTCTGAGTCCCTCCTCGCTTGCATTTGCAGCACCTACTGTGTGCCAGGCTGAGGGGTGCTCTAATTTCTTGTGTGAGAGACTATTTGATCTGCATCTGACCCTGTGTGCTGTGATCACACTGTTCCTTTACTTGTGGGTGGATTTTCAAATTATTGATTTTACCTCACAGTACACTCCCACTACTCTTTTCCCTTCTTTTTCTCTCTTAGGCAAGAGAGGAGGAATAGGGCTTAGGCCCCCATAGTTCTGACCATGAGTACCTCTGCTCTGGTCATGCAGATGTCCTGGGTTGAAGGAGCCTCCCTTCTGCAGCCTCCAGCCTCCCTTCCGACTGGTTCTGGGTGATCCATCTTAATAAATTATTTCTAGGAATCAGAAATGTGAACTTTCCCTAAGTGTCTTGGTGGCTGCCTGGCAATCTTATCACCCTCTGACCGTTAGTCAGCACTCCTGGGGCCCAGTGACCCAGAGCTCAAACCAGTGAGATTTGATTCCCCTGCAAGAGTGGACCAGGGGAATGTGGCTGAGAGGAGGAGCTGGGCCTCCAAGGAGTCCCAACAGCAGTGTGTGGAGCACGCCAGCTCTTGTGCTTTCTGTAAGTGGCAGGGGACCAGGCACGGGAGGCCTAGGAGCCCCAGCAGAAGTGATAATGTCCATCAGCCCCGTGTCTGTCAGATTGGGCTCTTGCATGGCTAGTGATGCTACAGATTAATCACAGGTATGCAGAATGAGTGTGCTTAGGGACAAGAAGAGCCTAAATTTCATGCTTTTATTAAGCAGGTGATTGGGGGACTCTTTGAATCCCAAGTCTCAGTTTCTCTGGAAGACCTACACCTTCCTCTCACAAACCTACCCATTCTTCCCTTACTCCACACAGGCATCTGGAACTCTGCTGGACTTCTGCCCAGGGTTCCAGATGCATGTGTGGAGTGACACCCTGTCTCTTCACCATGAAAGCCACATACTGGTGAGAAATACTGAGAAAGAGACTGAAAAATAGAATCCAGGTTGGTCAAGGCTACGATCAAGGGAAACCAAGAGCATAGGAGTACCAGCTTTGGGAGTCCACAGCGGCTTCCGGGAGGACAGCCCACCTCTGAAATAAGTGGAAGAAGTAGGAGCAGCATATTGTTTTCGCCTGTGCTATCATGGTGTATCCTTTGCACAAGGCATTATTCTTCCTATCCCCTCTCAAGCCTAAGGGTCTTTGTATTGAATGAGGACCTTAAATTCCCTACTTAGAGATGCCAGAAGCCATTGTTTCTATGGTAAGCAATCTGGGTGGCTGATTTTTGATGTCAGAGGGGCAGAGAGAAGTGGAGGGCAAGGTCCAAGAGAAGGGTGAGATGAGGGAGTGCCTAGCTCCCACGTGTCTGTCTCTTCTCTCCAGGGGGCAGGGGCATTGGGGAAGTTAAATATGGATGACTGACTCCAGGCAGGAGTGCCTGTAGGAACTGACCCAGAAAACCTCCCCTCACTGGGGCAAGGACGCGAGGGAATTCATAAAACCCTGCATTATTCATTAACAAGAATGTCGGCACATTTCTGGAAACTGTAAAGATGGCCTTAACGAGTTTGGTTACTTAGTGAAGAGCTGGCAAATATTCTGCATAGAAATGGAGCCCACAGATGATGCTATGAGACAAATCCTTGTAGATACTGGGTGGACATCAAGAATGGAAAATATCACAACCTTTGTTTGGGCGAATTAGGACTGGACAACAATTAACCTAATGAAAGTGTCTCTCACAGGCTTGGTATTTTGAGCTCTTGGGATACAGTAAGCAAAAGCAACAATAGAATGCCTAAAATAATATCATTAGAGCATTGTTCTTCCTGCTATTATTAAACAGCCACTAAAAAAAATGTAGCTGTGGAACAATAGAAAGACGTATTCCTACTGTTCTTGTGCATACAATGCAAAGGATTAGAAACCCCCGAGTGTGTTTTCATTGGGAATTCTTTGAGGTGTTGAATGCTGCAGGCATTACTCTGGTTAATATTTCTCAGTTGGGCACACAGGGGGCCGTTCCATCCTGAGCTCCCTCCATTGTTCTCCTAGGGAGTCTATCCTAGTTTTCTCTCTGTTCCTCTGTGACCTTTTTTCTCCCTAAGCCCTGCAGTGGGTGTGCCTTTGTTCTCCACATTCTCTCCCCAGATTCCTGTCATCCCTGGGAAGGTGACCCACCTGCCTTCCTGAATCCACAGTGGGACGATGTCTTCCTGTTGCCAGGGACACTACACCTCGGCTGTCCTGCCCTGATCACAAACTCAGCCAGGTGTTCAGAGCTGCCTTCTCACCCAGGTGGGCGACCTCACGCCTGTGATCCTGGTCATCCACGGCACCTTCTGTTTCCTCATGTTGAGCCCAGAGACCGTGGCTGTTCCTGGAGGCCCAGGTTCCCCCTTCTCCAACCCCCAAGTCTCCTCAGTCACGAAGCCCCCACTACTTCCAGGGTGCTTCTAGGAGCCGCCTGGCCCTCTCTTCCCGTGGCTCTAAGCCCCCTGCAGGTCTCCTGGATCGCCACCAGCCCTCCTGCCTGCCCCCCTCCCAGCCTCACCTCTCCAGCACGTTCTTCCTGCAGACATCCAGCCCGCGCTTCCTGGACCTGACCATGGCCACCTTGGCTTTGCATTCCCTCCTCAATGAGGATCCATCTAATTGTGTGGCCTTCGGCTCATGTCTCCCACCAGGTGACTTTGGTGACTGTCGGGAGGGATTCTCTGTGCTCCATGGAAGCCACTGTTTTCTCCCTGTTCCCTGGTTACTGGATTTTAGATGTACTCGCTCCTTTCTCTTGTCTTGCTGGCATTCTCCTGAGTCTCTAAGGGCAGATCTCTGTACCATCCTCACCACTTGCCTCTAAAATCAGGCTTGTGAGGGAGAATATTAAGTGTCTGGATTTTAAAAATCCAGCTTAAATTTGAACCCTTGCTCTGCCACCCAGAAGCAGTGTAAG